CCCGGCCTGTGGCACCCTGTGCGAGTCTGGCCGGGCCCGGTGCAGGTGGGGGCTGCTTCGGCCAGGCTGGAGTGCCCCATGCCAGAGTGCCCCCCGCCTACGCTGGGCCCCTCTGAGCTGGATTCTGTGTCAGATGGGGAGCTGCTCCAGCCTAGGGATGTAAACTCCTGTGTAATTGGTTAACCGGTCAGACACGATGTTTAACCAGTTAACCGAGTAAAAGCCTGGGGTGGCGGGAGCGGGTTGGCACGGTTCCCCCTGCTGCTAGGGTTGCCAGATGGTTTAACAAAAAATACTGAACCTCCCTCTCCCCACCAAAAAAAACACTGGGGAAAAAAACTCTGTTGAGAAAAAAAAAAGGGGGGGACCAAAGTTGTCAAGTGGACAGAGGCTGTTCTGACTGAGGTAGCCAACATCACCTGTTAAGGGGGGTGCTTCCTGGTTAACCATTCACACCTCTACTTCAAACAGTGTTTCTTCAGAACGGTCTGTAGCAGAGTAGTAGGTGCCCAGTGGGATGGTAACAGGCCTGGCCTTAGGGCCAGGCGAGCAAGGTGGTTGCCTTGGGCCCTGCGTGGCCCATTGCCCGCCTGCCTGGCTGCTTGCTCGTGGCCCTGGCTGGGAGCCGCCCGGCCATGTAGCACAGCCAATCACAGCATGCTGCCTTGGGCCCCTCCCACTCGTTGGCCAGGACTGAATAGTCCTGTGAACGGTTGCACGAAGCATTTAACTCGGTTCCTCCCGCTCCAGTTTGCTTCAGAAACACAAGGGACTGTTTTCCTATTTGCTTGGGAAACTCATTTTGCAGCTCATTCCACCCACCACTTCCCACTTTGTTTACATACAAGCGCAGACACACACATCCCCTTTCTCTAAACCGAGATACTCTCCCTGTTGTACCCGTTTTTCCAAATTAGGCTGTTTATAACCAGATGTGGAACAGTCATTTTCCACCCTCTCCCTCCCCCATTATGAGTAAATAAAAGGCAACTAAAAGCCTTCATCTTCCTGGAATGGTGGCTGAGCTTACAGCTTTCTGAGCTGCAGCTGCTCTGCGGGAAGACCTGCGTACAAATATTTGTTTGTTTCTTCCTATTGGGCTGTTTGAATAGCCAGGCCCCTGGATTCTTTAAACCTGGATCTCACTTGAGGGGATTTTAATTTGCAAACGGTTAGGGTAGTTTTGTTGTTTTGTGCTTAGTGTGGCCTGCTGTGCTCTGGCGTTGCCAGCAAGTCGCCGATGTGTTGGGAGAATCGGCGCATTCCTTCAGCTTTGGTGAGCCTGCTGGAATGTCTGTGGTCGAGTGTAAATCAGAAGCTTGAGCTGAATGGAAAACGTATCCTCTTTCCTGCCGTGGCTGCAGCCTTCGCCCTTTCCTCCCCGGGCACCAGATGCTTCTCCAGTGCCTGTTGCCACCTTTTAAAAGGGGGTTTTGGCTAGTAGCTGTTGCAGACGGTGTTCGGAGGGAGGCAGGCAGGCAGAGGCTGTTGGATGTACAGATGCCAGGTTTAGATCACACCCTGTAATTGACTTGGCAGTGGGATTTTACAGGAAAAATGAACAGATGTGATTTTGGGCTACACGTGCCCACAGAGTCTCGCATGGGCCTGAGTGGTGATAGCGCCTCTCCGTCCATTTTGGTTTTATTTGTATATCTAAAGCGCCTGCAGCTCCGGATGTATTACCAGAAACATATAGACAAAGGGGAGGGAAAGAATTCAGAGCAGAGCAACAAAACCGATTAAGACGTTTCGGTGGGGGGGGATAGCCGTGATCGTCTTTAATTTAAAACGAGTCGTCCTGTGGCACCTTAAAGTACGTCTAGACAGTGGTGCTGTTTTGGGGTATTCCCGGTATCCCGAAGTAGCTATTCCGCGTCTTTTAAGCAAGCCCATTATTTTGAAATATAACGGGCTCGCTATTCTGACGTCCCTGGAAACCTTGTTCCACGAAGATGAAGGGATGTTTCGGAATAGTGGTTTATTTCAAAATTTGGCCCTGTCCAATGACGAACTAAGCTATTCCGAAACTAACTCGAAATAAGCGATGCGAGTTGCGTAGCTCAGATTGTGTAGCTGATTTCGAGCTAAAGGCTCAGTGTAAATGCACCCCAAGAGAGCGTCCAGACTTGCAAAAAAGCTCTGATTGTCATTAACAGAATGGCCACCAGGGCATCTGTGCGTCTTTCGATAGGCTGTTTTTGCGCAACCCTTCTCCCCCATTTCCTGTCCACATGCATCTTTTTGCGCAAAAAGGAGTTATTCCTCGTGGAAAGAGGAATACCTGTACCGCAAAACCCCCTCTGTTCTGTCAGTTCGCTGTAAGTTTTCTTGTGCAAAAATGCACTTGAGTTGTGGATGCTCTGCGAGTTTTTACGCAGAAATTCTGCAGGGTAGACATAGTGCAAGGTGCCACAAACACGGGTACGGTGCAGAAAGATCAGGTTTATAGGGGTCTGTGGGAGTGTAGCTTGGCTGCATGACAGCGGAGTGTGAAAGACAAAGATAGGAAGGGCTTAAATGCCCATAAAGAAGCATTTTTTCGGGACGCAAAACTCAAGTATCGTTGGGGCAGTGGGGTGGACTTAAGAAAAGGAACTTTTCCCTTGGATCCTAGGGGAAAAAAACGAGTTTGTTGAATTGTCTCTGGGGAGAAGTGGTGGGAGCTGCACCCCATAAGGGTTTGGGGAGGGAACTGGACAGCATGTGAGAAAACATACACGGTCAGGGACAGTGAGTCCACCCCCCTCAGCCAATCCACTAACAAATGCTTGTTATCTCAGCTTGCAGGGTAGGCCACATTTTTAACCAGAAGGGATAGTAACACTGTAACTTGCAGTGCAGATCCTGGTATCGTAGAAAGCGTCACTGCAACAGCCCCGCCTCCCCCCCGGTTCCTAGCTTGTACGAGCCACCAGGAATTAATTGGGACAAGGAGACCAAATGCCCCTTTCCTGGAGGGTGTCTAATCAGAAGAAAATGGGGGCATCTGGCAAGGGCGGATTTGCGGGCTGAGGCAGAAAGAACCCTGACTAGTATCCCTGCCGAACCCCTCAGTACTAGGGATGTGAACGGGTAACCGGTTAACTGGTAAGTATCCCCCATGGAATGGTTAACCAGTTCCCTGGGAGCAGCCCCCCATGGCCTGCTGCGGATGGATGGCTGCTCCAACCCCGTCGGGCCCCCATGCGGGTCCAGCAGCCTGCCCTGCGCGGCTTGTTGCTGGGGCCAGGAGCCAGCCTCACGCAGGGTTGGAAGCAGGAACAGTCCCCTGCCTGGGATCCTGCTTAGTCAGTTAACCGGTTAAATGTTAATCCGGGTCCCCAGGGCTGCCAGCTGGCGTCTCAGCAGTAGTCACGGCCCGTGGAAGTGTGGCCTCACCACCCCTGGACCCCCCTCCTGGCTGAGACTCTTTCTTCTCTAAGTGCCCCAGGGAGGGTTGCCAGATACTTTCACAAAAAATCCTGAACGTAGCGGAGAAATTTGGTTGACCAAAAAACCCCCCAAAAATGAAACCAAACTTGTTGAGAAAAAAAAAAGGTCTCTGTGCCTTTAAATTCCCGTGCTCCTCCTCCCTGCCAGCCTTCTGTCCAAGAAAAACAGAAATACCGGTATTTACATGTCCAGTATTTTCTGGGTTTTTTTTTTTAACCAGACAGGGGCCACAAATACTGGACTGGACACCTGGCAACCCTAGCCCCAGGAATTGGCTGTGGCAGAGGTATTGCCTCTTCTTGCAACTCAGGCAGGTCACGTTGAAGTTCCACCCCTCCTGGGGTCACAGAAAGTCCAGCACAAAAATCCAGGGTCCTCCCGGTCACAGAAAGTCCAGCACAAAAATCCAGCACAAAAATTCAGGCCCCACACCCACAGTGTGAACATAGGTCTCTTAAGGCTTTAAAGCCTCCTGATTCTTCTGGGTCAGGGGTTTCACACCATCATCCCAATGGCCAGAAGAGGAACCCAGGCCCACCCTATACAGGGGCTCCCAGGCGGGTAGCAGCCACAGTCGACTCCATCAGAGCCTCCTTGGACCCCATTCCACCATGCGCCTTCCCCCAAGCCCCTTGCTGGGCTCTGGGTAGCAAACTGGGCTCCCTAGAGCATCTCTCCCAAGCTCTGCTTTCTGCCCTGGTACCAGGGTCAGTTACAGGAGCTTGCTCCAGTTCTGCTTTTCCCACACAAGC